AAGCACACCAGTTAAAATATTTTATGACCTGGCTCATTAAGCTTGATAAATCACCTGATACATAGTGTGCTAAAATGGGTTGACCTGCATTCACACAGCCAGTTTGATAAATTTGCTGCATTATGCTTTTCAACTTGTTGCCCATGTAAGCAGAGCTGTACAAAATGAGCAAATTAAAAATATATATATGTTCAAGGAACTGGAAGATTCAATGGTATGGAAACAAGACAAACATTTCTCATTGTTTGCTGGCTTATTTAATGTGGTTTTGATGGCAAGTTGAGGAAATTCAGATTTGTTAGAAGACACAGACGTGTTTTGCAAGTCTCGGAAGGAATGAGTGTCATAAGACCAGTTATAAAAAAAAATCCCAGCATTCCATTCAAAGAGCACTACGTAAAAAGCTTAATACTTTAAAAAGGAACTGTCACTTGATTTTGGTTAACCTATGCATTGTCCACTTTGTTTAACAAACAAAGATCTTAGATCTAAACATAAAATTAATTGTATAAATCCACACCATGGCATGTCATTCTGCTCTATCCTGGACTGGGTGCCTCTTGGCTCCTTGTCCATCATTGTTATAAACTCTGTATTTTTTTCTGATATTGAATAGACTTGTGCAGGGAAAAATGCATTTGTCAGAGTAGTTCCATCAGACAATTTTTCTTTTTGCAAATGAAATTTGGACACCAATTTTAAGTTTTTACACCTCTCAAACATTAAAAATTTAATAACTCCTCACTACTTTCTTCCTTCAGTAACAAATAAAATCATATAGGGGTCAATATGACCCCATACTAGTGTAATTGAGGGTTAAAACCTCCCTCACACACCTACCATGTGGCAAGAAGGGGCATGTCTACTGAACAGTAAGTAGCCAGTGGCTATTGCTGCCCCGTCATTAATACAATAAAAACAATAAATAAATAATGAAACAGGGGGATATAATGGTAAAAAAAAGGTAGAAAATCTAAATCAGCAAATTTAGCTCATCGAGAATCAATGCAGATTGAGCTTCCGCAAGAGATTTCCCACTCTATGCAATTTCAGTTAGAGCTCTGATTGGTTGTAAACCAACGAAAAGGAGTGCTCTGACAGACCAATCACACTACTGTCGCTACAGCATATATAACAGCTTGTGTACCTCACCATGAGCAATCTTACTACTTTCCATTCAACGAATCAGAGATATTTCTTCAAATCCATTGTCATCATAATTACAAGCGATTCACAAGTAACATTTACATGATTATTAACTAAAGTAAAAATTTAAGGTAAATTCTAAATTTAAGGTCAAAATAGCCGATCGTGGAAAATTCTTTAAGTCATCTATGCTTTCAACACATAGAGTATGTAGGGGACTGCACTCACTCCCATCAGTCACAGCCATGGTGCTTTAACTGTACCTTAACCAAACACCAAATTCCCAAAATAGTAGAATAAAGTAAAAGAGGTCCAGGCACTCCTTGGTTCAAGACAGGCACTTTATTAGAACCACAGCAACGTTTCGACCATAAGGTATTTATCAACGTCAGCTACTCTGGCCTTGAATTTGAAATTCACTTTGAATTCTCCCTTTAGTAAATAACACTGAGAGAGAACAGGTAGGAGATTCCCTCCAGCTAAAATAGAAAGTTCCAACCCAGCTGCAGAAGCCAAGCATGCTTCGAATGTGCATAAAGCAATTTCAAGATGTGCCGGTGAGTTGGCAATTGGTTCCCATCTGTCTTCAAAATCAATAATTCTATGTTTCAAAACACAGTTCATGGGAAGCTGTGCCTGTGGTCATTTTAGATGTAAAATCATATCCAGGGTTCCGTGGCAGATTTAGAAAAAGTCAAGCAATACTTTCACTGCTTCAAGCACTGGTTGTATTGCAGGTGAAACTACGAATTAATAAGAGTCACCTTTCCTTTACACTGTGCTTTCTTTTCCTAATACTATTTATTGCACTATCGATTATCGAAGCATTCCTTTAAGGAATTTTTCATTTAACTCTATATTCCGTGTTCACATCTAACATCAACCTGACATTTCCATCAGTGACTGTTTGGCAATATCCATAAAAAAATAAATACATTGGATTGTCCTCATATTGTTCAAACAAATGTGTTTGTTAGATCTGCTGCTGTAGAAACCAGCTTTGGACGAAAAGGCATTGTGGAGGCAGATTTATGTGATTTAAAATACATTTTTATGGCGGACCCGTTACACCAGATATACATATTGAATTAGGATAATTACGATAAGATAATGCTTTATACAGTTAAAGTTTCTGACTGTGTCTGTCAGTCAGGTACCCAATTTGGAGTGACAGCAAATAAGCACAGATTTAGGGAGAGCCTCTTGAAGCAGTTTAAATATAAATATTTCATTAGTATGGTTATCTCCAATGTTGAGATTAATGGAGGACCCACCAATATAATGGGTATTTTGAAGCAGTATCGAGCTGTCCAGATGCCTTTCCATATTTCGATCAGTCTGTCTATCCATCGAGCAATCGATCTACGTATCAGATATGTGTATTTATTCTATAATAATGTACAGTGCTTTACAAACTTTGATATGTCTTAAACTATATTTTAAAACATATGTAACTGTTAAATTGTTATGCTAAGCATCAAGACGTTATCTTAATGAATTCGTTTTGTATTATAGAGTATGCCTTTGAGTCTCACGGCTCAATTCTCTGCCATGTAGAAGGTACATTACTTTTGTACACAAAACACAATCAGATCTTACAGCACAGTGTGTTTATTTTAGAAGTTATTGTCTCCTGCTCTTTTAACTGAACTTTAATCACACACCTGAGGCCCCTGCATGCTCTGTTGGGTTATTAACAGAGCAGGAGGTGTGACTAGGGCTGCATAAACAAAGTGACAACTCCTAAATGGCAGATAATTCAGGGCATGATCTATACACCAAAATTGCTTCATTAGACTTTAATAAGTTGTTTTGGTGCTTAGAGTGTCCATTTAAAACTCCTGGAGTTGCCCATCTGTTCTTCAGTAAGAAAAATTGGAAACCAAGCCTCGGGTCAATGCTTTAATTAAGTCCATCACACTCTATAATGTATTAAACATGATTAATAATTAGATGTCAGACATATAGACATATAACTGACCACAACATCGGAATGAGACTATATGATCTGAAGGTGGAGTAAGTGATCACTACAATCCCTTTGGTACTCCATCAACCTATCAACATCATTTGATCATTTACTGACTTAAAATGAATACGCGCATGTACACAGTAATAGAAAAATACCAATAGAAGATACATGTTCAAATTTTTATCAGGGGAGCCAAGAACTTACACACAAAAATGTTCCTATTTCTTTTGGGAGACTGGTCTTATCTTGTATTCTGTTATAAAGCAGAGGAGCATTGATAAGCCATTTACATTCATAAAAATGATCAAAAGGAAATACAGTAAGATCTTGTACAGATCAGCATTAGTCATCTGTTACAACCATAAATTAAAATCCACAGACTGCCATTGTGAAAACAAATGTATTTTTAATATCTCTGGGGCATGCCAGACAAGCTACGCAAAGAGCTTACTGAGAGTAAAAACAGCTAAAGCTGGAAAATACGTTCATTTTGTTGCCAAGACCTGAAATTATGCAACATTACTGAAAACTGGATCGTTTTTCGTGACAGACATAATTATTATTTTGGTGACTATGCAAATTGTTCCATGTTTTTAACTTTGCATTCTAGACACACATTAAAAGTTTCTATGCTTATTTACTGCAATCAATACTGAGACAAGTACCTCAGAAACAATGTCCAAATCAACTAATGTGGGTCATGTATAAGCTTATGATCGTAGGAGTACCCTGGCCTTATTCCCCCGAAATGGGGCAAATCATTGTTGAATATTTTTCCTCTTGCCTGGGTTCAACATGGTTCCTGCTCTACTTTGAGGCAGAATTATGACATCTGGCTTCTGCACAGCAGCAGAAGCTGAATGCTGAGCGTATCATTCATTGATTGGCTGAGAGCAAAAGCTGACCACTTTGAGCCAATTAATGAGCACCTGTGTATCAAAATTTGCACATAACTGATATTAGCTTGCCTGGCCAACTGTCTATTGACATTAACAGGTAAAGTTACACCTCCGGCAGCAGATGGTCCAAACTCCATGTGTGCAGAGTTTTCAAACCAAAATGCTGCAAATACAGACTCCAGGCACCATGACCACGAGGTGAACCCTTGGCGAGACAGAGTTGCGTGCAATGCATTCGATTGTTGAGAAGTCCCAGTATCACTTTCTCTCAGCATTTTCTTTTTATATTGTGGAATGTTTTGCTGGCCAAGGCTTTCTGACATGAGTTTCCATATTGAATTGTACCTTCAGACTTGGGGTGTGTTTGACTGTGATGATTTGAGTACTGGGAAAGTTCCTTTGGATAAACATGTTGTTTATTGTCTTGTGTGTGCTAGGTACCCTACCTCCCAGCATTTCAGATGGACAAAAAGGGACACATTAATATTAGGGGTGTGAGTGAGGGTGCGGCCAGGGGCAGGACTGTTCTGAGACATTTTAAGTGAATTAAAGAACAAGAACAGTGTGTGTGTCTACACAGACTGATTTCTAAACGCATTTATTGTAATTTAAAGACATATTACTGTGAGTATTATTGCTGTGGAGCTCTGATATACACTGAAACACACCAGCAACATGCATTCTTCTGAAAAAGAGGGACATTAGGATAGAAAAGATGGGCAGAGGGATTTGGGTCCAAATTAGAGACTCATCCTTATAAATAGGGACACTTGGGAGGTATGAGATACTGATAGATTATGGCTGGAACATTTAGCTGAAAAAATTGTTAAAGCAGAGTTAAGGGCATTTATGCCAAAAGTTTAGTTTTTGTTGTTGTTTGGTTAGATTAATTTGCATGAGGTAGAAGTGTATGTGTTTATAGATAGTGATGTCGCGAACTTTTCGCGAACGGTTCGCGAACGGTTCGCTGCGAACTCAAGTCAGCAGACACATCCCGGCCAATCTGCAGCAGACCCTCCCTCCCAGACCCTCCCACCTCCTGGACAGCATCCATTTTGAAAATGGATGCTGTCCAGGAGGTGGGAGGGTCTGGGAGGGAGGGTCTGCTGCAGATTGGCCGGGATGTGTCTGCTGACTGGAGTTCGCAGCGAACGGTTCGTGGCGAACATCACTATTTATAGACAAATTGCTCCTATGTGATGTGTCTTTGATATTAGATATATTTTTATAATCCTTAAAGGGATACGTTTAGGTAACAAAAAACACTTTAGCTTAGTGAAGTAGTTTTGGTGTATAGATTATGCCCCTGTATTCTCACTGTTAAATTTACTGCCATTTGGGAATTAACTTTGTTTATAAAGCCCTAGTCACACCTAGTGACTTACACAGCCTTCATAAACACTTACTGTAAAGAGTTACCCAATGTTTACAAATACTTTATTGCAAATTCTGTTTAATTTCTAATTTACTAACTGCACCGGAGGTTCCTGTAGCTTGCTAGACCTTGCCCGATCCTCCTGTGTATCATTAAAGCTCACTTTACAGAGCAGGAGATCAACACATTCTAAACTAAGTTAACATCTGATGAAAAATGAAATGATTTTTATGCAGGCTGTGTGAGTCACACCAAGAGGAGTTGTGGGTAGGGCTACATAGACAGAATCAAAAGTGATTTAACTCCTAAAAGGCAGATAATTAAGCAGTGAGACTGCAGAGGCAAAACTGCTTCATTAAGCTAAAGTTGTTTTGTTGTTTGGGGACATATTCACAAAATTACACAAAAATTACACAAAAATTACACAAAAATTACACAAAAAGGACACTTTACTTTAGATTTAGTTTTTAGAAAATGCACTATATGATGAAATAATTGTGGTTAGGGATCACCTGAGTTTGACATTTGAAAGTAATGATTTCTGGTGGGAAAATGTGGGGAACACTATTTCATTTTCACTTGTCTGGATGTGATATTTCCCTGTTCTGTCACCATTAGTGATGTCGCGAACATAAGATTTTCGGTTCGCGAACGGCGAACGCGAATTTCGGCAAATGTTCGCGAACCCGCGAACCGGGCGAACCGCCATAGACTTCAATAGACAGGCGAATTTTAAAACACACAAGATGTTTCAAGGGGACTAACACCTGGACTGTGGCATGCAAACTCCGATCCGCGGCTGCATCTTGCAGCCGCTTAGTAGATAACTCCCTAATTCCCACGGTATTAGGGAGTTATCTACTAAAAGGCTGAAAGACCTAAATTGGTCTTTCAGCCACATTTACTAATACGAAGTAAAGATTACTTAGTATTAGTAAATGATCTGCCCCTACTCGCTATGCAGCGAGTAGGGGCATGTCTAGTAAGCAGTGAGCAGCCAGTGGCTGCTCACTGTAAAAAACAAACAAACAAAAAAAAAAAAACTATTAGCTCCCACCCCTGTGCAACGGGTGGGGGCCATTAATTACAATGGGGGGGAGGCCCTACTGTCCTCCCCTCAGGGGTGGGGGCC